TTTCTCCAGGGACTTTTATTAACTCAACTGTTTAAAAGCACCGAAGCTCTTGGGTTTGCGGTGATGACTTCGGAACTTCTTTTTCAGCAACCCCAGCTGCTTCTGTAGGCAGAAACAGAGCATCTGTTTACGGGGCCTCTGATCCAGGGTGAAGGGGCATGGGGTCTGGGCCCCAACCCCCATGCAGATGAGAGGGTTCAGTCAGGAACTCCTGGGACAGCTGTATGCCCAGGGCTTCCCCCACAGCTGTGGGCTTCCAGGGTGACTCTGTGGGGCATGTGGGCAGTGTTACCAATTCCCAAACCTTGTGATAAACACCTGGCCGCCTGACCCCCATCCTGCTTGCTGACCATGGAAGGAGACAAAATCTTTTTCCTGCCCCGAGAGCAAACCGAACAGGTGGCTGTGTCTACAGCAGAGCCTTCCAGCAGGCCCTGCTGCCCCACGTCAGCCCCAGACCAGGGGTCCTGCTGTCCCAGGAAGCCCAGCCTGTGTGCAAGTGCAAACCGGGCAGCAGCCCCACGCCTGTCAGAGCAGCCTTGGCTCCGGCTCCAGTTTTACTTACGTGTCATTAGTCTGGGATTTCATTTGGGAAAAAGGTCCCTCTTAAATGTTTTTTAATGGAATTGAAAACCATTGCTAGGGGCCACTGCTGCCATGCTAGCAGCCCCGGAGGCACCCCTCACCTTCCTGCGCTTGAGGCCTGGCTCCTGGTCCACTTCCATCCCCTCTCCGACTGCAGGGCCTGTCTCCTCTGAGCACCTGGGCTCCCTGTCCCCCTCTTCTGTCATAAAGCCATCAGTGCTGTCTCCATGCTTGGGTCCTCCCAGCTCCTTCCTGGTGAATAGCTCAGCTGGAGAGAGTAGAGAGATCAGCTGTTCAGGTGAAGTTCATGGCCAGTCGGGTGGGGGTGCTAAGCAGGCGTCCAGCCAGGGCCCAGGACCCAGGGAGGACATGCAGTGGGTGGGTGTGGGGGTGTTCTCTGCAGCTGGATGCACAGGATGGTGGGGGGCAGGGGCACGGTCTGCTTACGTGGGTACAGGTCTGCCATGCTGTCACTGTCACTTGGGGCTGCACTGTCATCACTGGACATGGGTTCCCAGAAGGCTTCTCTGGGGCAAGGCGGCCCATCTCTGGCTGCCTGGTCTTCCCGCTTCTTCCTCTTGTGCAGGAGGCAGGCAGGAACATACTCCACCCCCTGCCTCTGACACTCTTCATCTGGGAGACAGGCCAGCACATGTCAGTTCTTTCCACGTCCCCCTGTCCTCAGGATGTGGAGCTGAGCTTCACTAGGGCATAGTCTCCCACCCCACTGGGTACAGGTCAGTGGCAGCAGGTCAGTGCCATCGGCTTGGTTTGCCAGGAGAGGGGGCAGGCCAGTAGGGCTGTGAGATAAGGGCAGGAGGGTAGAGGCCTAGCACCCAGCCTCCAGCTGTAGCCCTGCCAGGCTCCAGGAGGTAGCAGCTGAGAGGGTGCTGAGCAGGTGTGGGGCTCAAGTAGTTTGGCCTGGAAGCCACGCCAGCCTGTCACTGGGACACAGAAGTCTCCTCGCCCGGACACTACCCTGGGTGGTGGTGCTCAGTGGAAGCTGGACCCTGGCCCTGGCTGACCACTGGGTTGGGGCAGAGGGGTGGGGTGCCCCCGTGGAAGGGCCTCACTGGGGTCACTGTTCCCTCATGTGCCGAGGAGTCAGGGAGGCCAGGCGCCTAGCGTGGAGGATGCAGTCTGACCCCAGGGAGGAGGAAGGCAGTGCGGAGGGGCTGGGTGGCTGGAGCTTGGGCCTTTCCAGGCCAGGGCAGTTACCTTGCAGGAGGGTGCAGGAGTGGGGCTGGCTCTCAATACCCACCTCCTGCCATTGTCACTAACAGGGTGGATGAGCGCTGCTGGCCTGGCCTCCACATCCCTGCCCACCTCTGGGCCCGATCCCCTGTCTCATCTCTGCCCCTCACCCCATGCCCACAGTGGCCTCTCACAGGGCCCTCACCACCCAGTGCTGACTCCCTCAGACAGGGCCAAAGTGCCCCTCCACCTCCTGTCCTGATTCAACATGGTAATTGTTCTCTTGCTGGTGGGGAAGCCCAGCCTGGAAGCCGGGCTGACTGAAGCAACCTAAGCCCTCTGGCCTTGGGCGACTCTGGCCAGGCACCCAAGATGGGGGTCCCCCTTCTTAGAAGCCTTCCCTGGCTCCCTCCACTTCTTCCCCTTCAGGCGGAGACCTGGCCTGGCTTCTTCACTGGGAAATAAAAGCTTCAGACTTCTCTTCCTCATCTTCCCTCCATCAAGCCACCTGGTTTGACAGCCCGCCCACCCTCCACCCCTGCCTCTCAGGCTCCAGACCCTGCACCACCCCAGCCTGGCTCCATCCCCACAACTGTCAAGTCTCAGGTCACTTTTCAGTACTCATCTCCTCCACGGTAACGTCTGCTAAGAGTCCACCACTTGTGCCCTGAAGCTCCTCTTAGCCCCAAACACCTTCCTGGGGCTCCCCCTGGCTTGGCCCAGCACTGACCCTTCTCCCCTGGCTCCATGGATTCAAATGCCATCTCTATGTCAGTGATTCGCGTCACCTGAGTGCTGGTCTGTTTCAGCCATCCTCCCTGAAACACCTCCAATTTAAAACATCCAAAGGCACTTGGATTTTCCCGCAAAGCCTGTTAACTCCATCTCCAAACTTCACAATGCCGTCACGTCAGTTCCCAGGACAGGAATCTGGGGATCTGTTCATTTCCTCTCGGTCACTTCCACCTAATGATTCTACCACAGAACAGCTAAAACCTGTCCACACCTTATCCCTGCCAACACCTGGTAACCCCAGCCACCACCATCTTCACCTGGGTGACTGGACAGCCCCTGAGTGCCCTGACCTTCCCCTCTCTTCTCAGAGCCACCGTGGTCCTCTGACCCACACTGACCATGCCAATCCCTGCCTGCACCTTTCGGCGCATCTCCACTGTGTGACCCCAACTATGGTTTTTGAGACCCCTGTGGACTCATCCCCACTTAGCTTTCTGACCCTGCCTTGCCAAGGTGCCATGGCGGCTGCTCTTCAGAACCCCCACAGCCAAGCATTTCCCACCTCCGACCTCACCCAGACCCTTCCTCTGGAGGACCCTTTCGCACTCCAAGTGTCCCGGAAGTTTCAGCCTACAGAGAAGCTCAGAAGGTCCGCCCGGGCCTCCAGTGGAAGGCCCTCTTGACGACCCTTGGCACCGTTTCCTTCACAGCGCGTATTATACCTGCAACTTCCTCAGACTCTTGTTTCTGGCTTTGCACCTCTCTCTACCATCTCCCCTCTGTGCCAGGACCGGCCAAGTGGGTCCGTCCACCAAGTGGTCCCAAACGATGACAGGAGGCCACTTCTGCCTTCTAGGGCTGGTGCTCATCCTGGGGGAGGCAGGCACGTAGTGACCCCCACGGGCACTTACATTTCTGCAGTGCCCTCTGGTACCGCCGGCCCTGGGTATGCCTCAGCACGTGCTCTGGGGCCTTGTTGATGTGCCGCAGGGTGAGTTTGCAGAACAGCTGGTGCCTAGGGCAGGGAGACCTCTGTTTGCAGGAGCAGGTCACAAGCAAGGATACAACCGGTGGCTCTCCACCATGGCTGCACATGGGAATCACCCAAAGGAGTCTGATGGGGGAGGTCTGGGCATCAAGATCTTCAAAGAGCCCAGGCACTTCCACTCTGCAGCCAGGGTGGAGAACCCCTGGTCCTCCTGACGTTTCCCTGAAGTAGAGGCCTGGCCACCACCAGACTGCTCTAGCAAAGTGGCCTGGCAAAACACTCAGCAAACGGGCACACTCACCATAGCCCTCTTTATTCTACTATTGTCAACCATAGCTCTGGGCTAAATCAAAGCTCTCCTTGAAAGATGTGAAATTGATCGTTCAGAACTTCCGGTGGCAAAGCAGGCACTCCCACTCCCCTAGGAAGCTGCCAAGCCCAGGTGTCAAACTTCACGTTTACAAAAAAGCACACAAGCCCCTCACCTGGGATCCCTGTAACTCAACTCACAGCAACAGGGCTCCCACCTGGATCTCAGGCCGCCTAGCTCATGGAGGGGTGGGAGCTGCAGAACTGGCAGTGTCCTCAAGGAGTACTCGCTGAGCGGGGATGGCTCGGGGCTTCAGGGGCTACCGCCGGGCAGCGGCCACACGCACGGCTGGGAACTATCCCCACCCAGGGCCCCCATGCGGTTGCCCGGCCTGCGGCCCCGCTCACGTACGGGTTCTTGGTGCTGGGCACGATGTGCGGCTCGAACTCGGCGTAGTCGAAGGCCGGGGAGGAGCGGACAAGCCGCCGGTATTTCTTGCCGCGGGTATAGACCTGGAGCTCGGGCAGGCGGCAGGGCAGCTCGTGGCCCGTCAGCGCGCACCTCACCTGCGGGCCATACGGCAGGCGGGGCGGTCAGCGGGTCCCGGGGGCTGTGGGGATGTCCCGGGGACGGTCGGGGGATTCGGGGGAGCACAAGGACGGCCGGTGGAGTCCCGCGGGGCAGTCGGGGGGGTCCCGGGGAGTGGCTGGGTCCCGGGGGCGGTCAGGCGTCCCCCCCGCCCCGCGGACCCTGCAGGCGCCAGGCTCCAGCCGCAGGCTCGGGTGCTCCAGGAGGAATGCGCGCACGTCCGCCGAAGGTTCGCCCATCGCTGGGCCGCCCGCGGAGCAGGAAGCAGCGAGTGCTAGAACCACGTGGGGCCGGGGGCGGGCCTCGGCGGCGCCCCGGAAGTAGATGCCTCTAGGCCCCGGAAAGTACCTTGCGGGCTGGCGCGGCTATGGCACCTGGGGCCTGGTGGCTGGGGCCGGGGCTGCGGGTGGCGGGCCTGCGGCTCAGCGCGGCGGGCGCGGGGCCGGTGAGCCGGGCGGGCGGGGTGTCGGGCGGGCCGGGGAGGGCCTCGTCCAGGGGTAGGTGGGCTCAGCCTGCCCCTCGCGTCTCCGCAGGCTCCGGCGCGCGCGGTCAGGAGGAGCGTCCTTGGGGTCTCCCCGCGCCCAGGTGAGACCTGAGCCCCTGGGAAAGCCGCCTTGTCCCTGCCTTCGCTTGCAGGGGGGGCCATGGGCACTGAGATGGTCCTTAACTGCCGCCGACAAAAGGGGGTTCCACTCGGTGCCGCTCAATCCAGCCTTGACTCCGTGCCGAGCCCTGACGAGCGCTGCGCTCACGGCAGCCCCCGCTGGCCCCCGTCTCATTCCCGTGATACCCCACGGCCGGAGACCTTAAATAACTTGCCAACGCCTGCCCAGCTGATTAGGAGCCAACGGAAGATTGAAACCTGGCTGTCTGGGTTCTGAAGGAAAGCGTATCTAACCACCAGAGTCTGCGTATTGCCTCTGGGTGTGTACAGCAAAGGGTATTTTGGTGTAGCGCTGTGCACAACAAAGGGTTCTTTGTCGGCCCGCTCCAGACCTGCTTCTTTACCATCTACAAAGCCCGCAGTTGATTAGACTCACCGTCTGAGAGCTTAAAAATACCTGCTGTGTATATGGTTATCTTAAATTTATGAGCAATGAAGAGAAGCTGTTAAAGATTGAGTTCTGTCTGGGGAGGATGGATGGGAAGGGAGGCATAAGGGGGAAGCATTACGATTAGCACACATAATGTAGGGCGGCTGGGGGGGCGGACACGGGGAAGGCAGTATAGCACAGAGAAGACAAGTAGTGATTTTATAGCATCTTACTACACTGATGGACAGTGACTGTAATGGGGTATATGGTGGGGACTTGATAATAGGGAGAGTCTAGTAACCATAATGTTGCTCATGTAATTGTACATTAAAAATACCAAGAAAAAAGATTGGGTTCTGTAAACCACTGTCCTGAGTTTACATCCAGTTTCTGTCTCTTCGTGACACATGACCGGTGGCATTCAGAGATGTAACAGGATACCTCAGCGCAGTTTTGCATAAAAGGCATGAGGCGCTTACCTGCATGACCAGGGTAGTGGTTGGCGGCAGAGCCAGGACTAAGCCCTGGGTCTCATTTGTTCAGTCATAAGCATCCAGGGTGTGCGTGCGTCATGTGCGGGGCCCTGGGTTAGGAGCTGGATTAGACACAGGTGCTGTTAGCTGGCGCCTAACGGCAAACTGTGGTTTGTTTACTCCTATACCACATTTTCTTGGGTACTTTTGGCAGTCGTCTTGAATTGGCTGTGCCAGTTGTATTTGTTGAAGGGCTTCTCACCCCATATCAGTGTTGTAAAACGTTCTAGGGTTGGCCTGGCTGGGCAGGTATGGCAGCTCTGCAGCCAAAGCACCTGCCACTAAAGCAGAAGACGATTCTTTTCTCCAGTGGTTCCTGCTTCTCATTCCTGTGACTGCCTTTGGCCTGGGGACATGGCAGGTAAAAACTGGCTTTGAACCCTTGTGGCTCTGAGCCCTTGACCCTACTTGCCCATCCAGGCTTATGCTCTGTTTTCACAGGTCCAGCGTAGGAGGTGGAAGCTGAAGCTGATCGCAGAACTAGAGTCTAGAGTGACCGCTGAGCCCGTCCCTCTGCCAGGAGAGTGAGTGTATGGCTGCCCGGCTGGGGCTGGTCTCACTTGAGGTCAGCAGTGGGCCTGGCTTCTGCTTTCTTTGGCCTGGAGATCAGGAGCCCTGAAGATCAGTTGACCTGACGGGCTTTGGCGTGACACTTGGGACGCTGCCTGACATGTATAGAAAAAAACCCTATCTTTGATTCTGGGTCTCACCATTTTGGATCTGGTGTACCTGAGGGACCCCTCAGCACTGATGGCCCCTACAGCAGTGCTTCTTGGCCAGTGGGTGAGGGCAATGCCCTCGTGTCATCTCTTGACATGAAGTATCTGAAGAAGCGCCCAAACGCTCGCACCGTCCTCTACCCTCACTGCAAAGCAGTTCCTAGGGTGACAGATCTATTCAACAAAGCTTTCCGGTGAGGGAAGCAAGCAAGCATGCCACATTCGGCTGTGGATGCGGCTTGGTCTGTATTTTAGCTTCTCTTGAAAACTTGGACTGTTAGCACAGATCTGCATTCCCACGGCTTCCACCTTTAGAGGGCATGCTCTGCACATCGGCAGTCCCCGTGCCTGCGGATCCCCCACAGTCCTCAGGCCACAGCAGGCTGTCTTCTGCCAAACCCTGCTTGGCCTCAGCTCCACTTCCCTCTCCCACACAGCCTGATGGAACTGAACGCACTGGAGTACAGGCCAGTGAAGGTCAGGGGCCATTTTGACCACTCCAAGGAGCTATACATGATGCCCCGGACCATGGTGGACCCAGCCCGGGAGGCAGGCCGGCTCTCCTCCTCAGCAGAGAGCGGGGCCCATGTCATCACCCCCTTCCACTGCACTGACTTGGGGTGAGTAGGGCCCGGAGGGAGCTGCCTGGCTGGGCAGATGCAGCAGAGCATACAAATTCTCATCTTTCCTTCTTAACCCCCAACCTTGGTAAGACTGGGGAATCCAGGGTACCCAGACAAGTGCAATTCCTTGAAGAGCATGAAATTTATAGCTCCTATTACATAAGAACTCCTGTATGTTAAGCTCTGAAGCAGGAGAGATGGATGAAAAGGGTTGCTCAGAGACTCTGCCTAGTGGCCAACAGGTTAAATGATTCTGATGCAGCATGAGACTGGCAAGAGAACTCGAGCCCCAGGTCTGATGGATGGAGTCAGTCAGGAAAGGCTTCTCAGGGATTATTTGGGCCAAAGCTGTAGTGGAGATTGAAACATCACGGAAATGAAATGGCATGTCCCAGAAGTGGGTAGTGAAGGACAGGTGACAAATGTTACCGTTCAAAGGCCCACAACTTCCTGGTTTTAGTTTGTGGATCTCCCCCTGCAACTCTCCCAACCATGGAGTCTCTAGCAGGCTGCTCCTGTGGCTCCCATTTAGGGAGTGGAGGCTGGTGCAAACGGCAGCTGCTGCTACAACTCAAGAGCAGCAGGTCTCAGTGCTGCCCGGCCCACGGTGGTAGTCAGCGGCTGGCTGCATGTTATAGGTGGGGCACAGAGAAGCAGATGTGGGGTGGATCTTGGGGTCTGCCTTCAAGGGTTTGGCGACTTACCCATCAAGACAAGCCTAACAGGAAGACCGTCCCAAGGCAGGAGTTGGAAGCACTCCCACAGTCAGCCTCCACACAGCCCCATTTTGAATTTTCCCTGATGCTTAGTAATTCAAGTGACTATTAGTGATGTTTTATTCTCAAGCCTTCCCCTGCCTGAAGGAGCATACTTTATTACTCTAGAATCACCATCCTGGTAAATAGAGGGTTTGTCCCCAGAAAGAAAATGAATCCTGACACACGGCGGAAAGGCCAGGTAAGGGGCATGAACTCTCCCGAGTAGAGCTCCGCAGTAGCCACCCAGTCTCCATGCATAGCTCTAAACCGCCTCACACCTTTGTTTGTAGATTGAGGGAGATGTGGAACTAGTCGGGATGGTGAGGCTGACAGAAACCAGGAAGCCCTTTGTTCCTGAGAACAATCCAGAGAAGAACCACTGGCATTACCGGGATCTGGAGGCCATGGCCAGGCTCACGGGCACAGACCCCATTTTCATCGATGCAGACTTTAGTATGTTGTGACCAGCCCACCCCAGATCAAGTACCTTTAGTAAATACCCTGTTCTACCTTCCTTGGGGACATGTCCCGGTTATTAACTGTTGCTTACACTCTAGTGTTGGGTGGAGGGGTGACAGGATGCCTGCCAGTGCGTAAGGAAAGGAGGCACCACCAGGGGCTAGTGATGGGTAAAGGCCTCAGTGCAACAGTGACAGCTCTGAGAAGCACTATGGGCATCCCAAGGAGGCTGCCTGTACCGCTGGAAAGCAAGACCTACATGCCAGAGATGGTAGGCTACAGCCCATTGTCTCTGCAGGGAGCACAGTCCCCGGAGGACCCATTGGAGGGCAAACCAGAGTCACTCTGAGGAATGAGCATGCACAGTACATTGCCACCTGGTAAGTCCCAGTCCCCAGCTGCTCCTCTGCTTCCTCCCCTTCAGAACCCTGACTGTCAGCTTGTTTTCAACCCAAGGTATGGACTCTGTGCAGCCACATCGTACCTGTGGTTTAAGAAATTCCTACGTTGGACTCCAAGCCTATGATGAGATCAGCTGACGTAGCCCCATCCCTGAATAATGAAGTCAGTGAAGAACATTTTAAGATCATGTTATCACTGGTGTAAATAAAACTCTATACTACCCAGTTGTGCCTTTTGTCCTACCTAAACGAGCTAGTTAACTGATCAGAAAATCCAATCTTGGGTTGGAATATTTGAATATTGCATACAACCAAGCAGTTTAAGACTGCTTTTCCTTAACTGGACCAACTTACACAGGAGGTGTGGTACAACCTACCCTGTGGAAACAAACTGCCCAGTTGACACCAGCTGAGTGAGAGTTTTTATTACTTTTATGTACAGAAAACCCAACAGCATACATTTAGCCCAGTTTGGTGGCCAGTTCTTTAGCCTTTGCCTTCTCCAGCTTGGCAATGCGAGCCACCGACTTCGGGCCCAGGACATTGCCTCCCCAGTGACGGCGAATCTGCAACGAGAGAGGGGGTCAGCCTGGCCTTCAAAGCATGCCGGTCCACGCTGTTTTCTACTTGGCTGTTCCAAGATGACTGCCTAACAGAACTGCTCAGCAGCGTTAAGAGCCAGCCAGTCCTTTGAAGGCGTGACTGGCCCAAGTCTGAATTTTTGTGGAATTCCTTCTTACCTCATCGTATCTGTCGTTGTAATTGGTCCTGATAGCTTCCACCAGTTTAGCCAGGGCTCCTTTGTCTTCCCTAACAAAGCAGAGAAAAACAATGCAGGCTGCTGGCCTCCTGGTTACCCCTCCAGACAGCAGGGATGTCCCAGTTTTAGCTCCAAACACAAGCCTTTTGCCTCAGATCCAGTATGACCACACAGTTTATTCAGGTGAAGAAATTCAAAACCATCATTGGCAAATATATTCCTTTCAAATGGAACGCTGTCTTCAAGGCAAAATCTTGAGGAATGAAGTGACCTTTGGGTGGCACTTGGGAGCTTGGGCCACTTTGTATACTTACGAGTTAACCTGTGTGAAAGCAACAGCGGTGCAGGTCTTCCTATGGACCAGCCGCCCCAGCCTGGCCTTTCCCTTGATGATGCAGTAGGGAACCCCCATCTTACGGCACAGGGCGGGCAGGAAGACGACCAGCTGGAAGACAGCATTAGCTCTAGTGTTTAAACCAAAAGCAGGAACTCAAGGCTAGCTTAGTGGCAACTGCTCAGGTAAAAAAGCTCATATTTGCACTTCGAGATTTAATTCAGTGAAGGAACGCACATCATTTCAAGTGCCATGAGTCAGTACTGTCATTAAATGAAAAATTCTCACCCTACTTTGGCCTCATCTAAGTTTAGCAGTCAATGCTTAAAAGTCAGCTAAACGTACCTCAATGGGATCCACATCATGTGCAATCACTACCAGCTGAGCCTTCTTGTTTTCCACCAAGGTGGTGACAGTATTAACCCCTGGAACATACAATGTGCAGGAGCACTCAGAGGAGCTGCTGTTCACAAAAGCTGTTTTATGGGGGGTGGGGGGGTGGGCAGCTATGGCTCAGGGTTAAAAAGCTCGGATTTTACTCTCCACAGTGACTCCAGGTGAAGAAATGCATCATGGCCGACAGCCTATCCCACCACCATCCACCCTCTTTGAGGAGGGGCCCACCCACCTGCTCGCAGGACAGGTGGCCTCTTTGTAGGGACATCCCCTTTGCCAGCAGCTTTCTTCTCAGCTCGAGCCAACAGCCTCTGCTTCTTTTCTTGCTTTGTCTCCGGCCTGTACTTGTGGGCCAGCTTAAGCAACTGAGTAGCTGGGAAATCAAGTTTAGGTTTACAGTTTACTTCTAATTTTTGTGGTTTGATGCAATAAACGTGAGACCACTATCACAAATGTATCAGTTCAAAAACTCTCCCAACTATGTCCGTAACCCCTTCAGTCACGCCACCTCCGTGTTCTGAAAACCTGACAAGGAATCCTAAATTTTAATAAACCAATCTACTTGAAAATACCCACTGCCCTCTATGGCCTCAAGATCTCATTCTGCCTAGTATCAGACAAAATAGACTTCAAAACAAAGAAAAGTAACAAGAGATGAAGAAGGACATTACATGATGATAAAGAGGTCGGTCCAACAAGAGGATATAACCATTACAAATATATATGCACCCAACACAGGAGCACCTACATGCGTGAAACAAATACTAACAAATGGTAACTGCGTCCTTGCCTGAGAAATCCCTTCCCAATGTGCACTTTATGCCAAGGAACCTTACCCGTTTGGCGGTCCAAGGCCTGAGTGAACTGGTTAATTGCAGGAGGCACTTTCAGACGCTTATAGAGAATAGCCCTTTGTCGCTGCAGCCGGATGTAGCGGGGCCATTTGACAAAGCGGGTGAGGTCCCTTTTGGGCTGGATGTCCTGTCCTGAGAAGTAATGGGCAACAGTGTGAGGATCAAACCGGTCGGTTCGTATTTAGGGGCCACTCAGGAGGGTGTAGGTGCATCAGTGATCTTGGTGGTTTAAGGTGTAATCACCATCTTTCATATAGCAAATATTCTTTTACATCATCTGCACACAAACACCCAGGACCGGTGACACAACCTCTGCATTCGACAAGCAGCCAATGGGTACGTGAGTCCTGCGGTCAAGGCACTCTGCTCTGGGGCCACTGGTCGCCTGATGACCAAGCTGAACGACTTTGAGCTGAACGTGAGACATGCTCAGCTGCTTACAATGCTCCGAAGACCACGAAGGGAGAAATTAAGAACCGAGCCAGGGTCACAGCCAGAAAACGGCCAACCAAGAATTCCAACCCAGGCAGCCTCCACTCCAAAACGACTAATGCCTGCTGTTCAAAAAGCTACCATCTTTCATTGGGGAAAACAGTCTTTTTCATCCCTCTTACTCACCAATGCCAAAATTCTTGGGCCTTTTCTCAAATAAGGGATTTACCACCTTCTTGGCCTCCTGCTTCTTCACGACGGCAGGGGCCGGAGCCACCTTCTTCCCCTTAGCCTTCTTTCCTTTGGGCTGAGCGGACAGAAACACCCAGGTTAAGCCACCCCTCCCGCCAGCTGCTCTGGAGGTGGGTGGGGCTCGACGGGCCTCACGAGACAGGGGTGGCCGGCGGGCCGTGCCACCAACCCCTCCTGGGGGGCGAAGCTTGGCCCCCCCAGGTTCAAGTCAGCGCTCGTCCATCAGCGATCTTGGTGGTTAGGAATGTCCTCACCATCGCTCAGGCAGCAAATTTCCATTCACATCATCTGCGCGAGCCTGACGGCGCGTTCCAAGGCGCGACACTGCCCGGCGGGGAGACTGGTCCCTTTGGGAGCCGGCGTGCAGCTGGCTCCTGCCAGACGGGGACTCTGAATCCCGCACCCAAGGCGTCCCCACGGCCTTGGAGCACCTCGGCGACCGCCACCCCTAACTCCGCATTGCGGCGCTGCGCTCCCGCCCGGATCTTCCTCCCGTCCCCCGCCCAGCCGCCAGGGATTCCATCCCGGTCCAGTGATCCCGTCCCAGGTCTCGTGGGGCTCCCATACCACCGGGCGACAGAAGGGGCCCCGCGCGGTCGCGCCCTAAGGAGGATGGCAGCGGATAGAGCCCACACCGGCACCGGCACCGATACTGCGGAGCGCAGTAATACTCACCATCTTCGGCGGCTGAAGGAGAGAGAAAGAGAAGGGAATTGTGGGAAATTTGTAGGCGACCTCGGAGATCGCGAGAACTGGGGGGTGCGCGGGATTTCGGATTTAAAGCGAACAGGACTTCGCTCGCCTGTCTCTAGTCGTGGGCGGTGCCTAGAGCAGCGGCGGCCGCGGGTCGGAGCCCCGGGTACCGGCGCGAAGGCTTCTGCTGGTCCCCGGGCCGCGGAGTCGGGACTTACAGGAGGGGCGCGCGCTCGTCCCCACCCCGCTCCGAGCAGGGGCCCGCCAGGCGCGGGCTCTGAGGACCAGTGCGGGCGGCGGGGCGGCGGATCGGGCCGTTCTCCCAAGTGTCCCCCCACAAAGTGGCTCCAGGCCCGAGTTCGCTCGGTCGGCCGTGCGGCAGGCTGGGGCCAACCTGTCCGGAGCGCGCAGCCGAGGCGCCTGGCGCGAGGAGGGAGGGCGGCCCCGGCAAAGATCCCTGGAGCCAGGAGGTCGAAGGCGCGGCGGGAGGCAGAGGCCTTTGCGAGGCGGCCCCGGGAGGCCGGCGGGGTGAGGAGAGAAGCGTCCTGGCGCGGGGCGCTGGGGTCGGCGCGGGAGGAAGTGTCGGATGAAGGGGCTGTGGCGGGGCAGGTGGTGCACCCCTCTCAGACCTCCGAGGACGCGCGGCCGCCGGGCCTTCGAGCAGTGGGGCTGGGGCCGCGCGGGGGGCTGGGCTTGTCAGGGGTCCTGGGGTGAGCCCGCCCGGGGAGAGGGCGTGGGCCGGAGGAGACCCGCGGAGCGCCTGTGCGCGCAAGATGGACCCGTCTGTCTGGCAGAAGGGGCCTCTCCGGAGATGTGCAGGATTTGAAGTGGGGGCACGTGGTGTGGGGTGACTGTGTTCACACCAGACTCTGGGTGCCAGGGATTGACTGTCGGAGACTCCTGCCATGGCCCAGCAGAGAGCCCTGCCACAGAGCAAGGAGACGCTGCTGCAGTCGTACAACAAGCGACTCAAGGACGACATCAAATCCATCATGGACAACTTCACCGAGATCATCAAGACTGCCAAGGTGGGTGGGTCCGCCCTCCGGCCCTCCTGAGGCCAAGGGAAGGAGCGGGGTCTGGTGATCCCATGCAGTGGTGAGCCAAGTGACTAGCCTGCTCTGACAGTGTTACACGTGGGGTCAGCTTTCTACAGCATCTGCTGGAGGTGGAGCATGTGCTCTGTACCAGGTGGTGAGCACACACACAAGGCCCTTGACCTCATGGGGAAAACATTCGGGAGGGCGGCAGGGGGATCGCCAGTAACAAGCAGGTCAAACTAGCCAATTATGGGGCCCGACAAGGTAGCTGGGAAAAACTCTGGTCAAATTGCCAGGCTTCAATGTCTGGACCACACACTAGCAGCGTGGGTTTGGATGGGGACTTGATCAGTGCCTGTTTCCCGTGCGTCGCAGGGTCGTGATGATTGGATGAATTTGTGTAAAGTGGTCACCGTGGGGCCTGACATGGACCCAGGTGTCATAGCTATTGCAAGTGAGCGTGG